TAGTAGTAGTAGTAGTAGTAGTAGTCGTAGTAGCAGTAGTAGTCGTAGTAGTAGTAGTAGTAGTAGTAGTAGTAGCAGTAGTAGTAGTAGCAGTAGTAGTAGTAGTAGTAGTAGTAGTAGTAGTAGTAGTAGTACTAGCCAGGGTAGTAGTAGTAGTAGTATAGTAGTAGTAGTAGTAGTAGTAGTAGTAGTACTAGTAGTACTACTAGTAGTAGTAGTAGTAGTAGTAGTAGTAGTAGTAGTAGTAGTAGTAGTCGTAGTAGTAGTAGTAGTAGTAGTAGTAGTAGTAGTAGTCGTAGTAGTAGTCGTAGTAGAAGTCGTAGTAGTAGTAGTAGAAGAAGAAGTAGCAGTGGTAGTAGCAGTAGCAGTAGCAGTAGTAGTAGTAGTAGTAGTAGTAGTAGTAGTAGTAGTAGTAGTAGTAACAGTAGTGGTAGTAGTAGTGGTAATAGTAGTGTCAGTAGTAGCAGTAAGCATAAACAATAGTAGTAAGAATCGTCGTCGTAGTAGTAGCAGTAGAAAAAGAAGCAGTAGTCGCTAGTGTTGCTGGTGGTATGGGAACTCGTACAAGCAGCAGGAGGAACTCAGCCGAAGGAACACCTGGATGGGGGGAGGATCAGCATGAGAATAGCAAGAGCATCAGAAGGAGCAACCGAAGCAAGTGGAAGAGCAGCAGAAGGAACAGCAAAAGCAGCATTAAGAAGAGCATAAGGAGGCGCCGCAAGAGGAGCAGCAGGAGGAGGACCAGAGCAGCAAGTGGCGCAGCAAAAGCAGAAGAAGGAAGAAGAACACCTGAGCAGCAAGCGGACGTAACAGACGGAGAAAAACAATGCAGCATCAGTATAACATCAGAAGAAGCAGGAGGGAGGGGAGCAGCAGAAGGAGCAGGAGCAGCAGCAGGAGAAACAAAAGGAGCAGCAGGAGAAGCAGGAAGAGGAGGAGCAAGAAGACCATCAGGAAGAGCTTCATAAGGAGCAGGGGGAAAAACATCACGAGGAGCAGCGGAAGAGACAGCAGGAGTGACAGCAGTAGCACCAGCAGCAGGAGGAGCAACAGGAAGAGCAGCAAGAATGACGGACAGAGGACCGGCAGGAGGAGCAGCAGGAACAGGAAGTAACAACAGGAGAAAGTGGAAGGAACAACAGGAGAAGGAGCGAGAGGAGCAGCCGGAGGGGAAGCAATGGAAGCAGGAGGAGCAGCAGGATGAGCGGGAGGAACAGCAACATGAGCAGCAAGATGAGCTCTAGGAAGAGCAGCAGGAGGAGCAGCAGCAGAAGCAACATGAGGAACAGCGGAAGGAGCAGCAGGAGGAACAGCAGGACGAGCACGGGAGAAGGAGGAACACCGGTGGAGGAGCAGGGTCAGCACCAGAGTAGCAGCAGGAGCAGCAAGAGCAGCAGCAGCAGCAGCAGCAGCAACACTGCATTCCTGGCGTTCCAGGCGAACAGGATGCTCGCGAGCGGCATATCATGCTTGTGAGCACCAAAGCATGGCCAGTGAGCATGCCGCCATGCCTGAGGGGGGGGGGGTACTAGTAGGGGTGGGGGGGCGACCTCCCAGTCACGGCCGTTACGGGCGTCAAATAATGAAAAAACACTCTCGGGATCGATGGAATGACGTCCCTTCCTCGACGCAAGGTCGGCGGACAAAAAAACGGAGGCGGATCGGCCAGCGGAGGTTGGCCGAAGACCGGCGGGAGTGCGGGGGTCAAAGAGGGACAATTCTGGCCCCACAAACGCCCCACGAAGCCCGAAGAAAGCCCCGACTGGGTCCAAGAGTGCAAGAGGACCCTAGAGACCCGAGAGGACCTCCAGACAGCCCAAAGCTAGCTGCCTACTCAACTAATTTAGCCATCCCGAGATGTTGAAGGCGGTTTCTCACGTGGGTGTTGGCACTCCGTCCTCCTGGACCGATCCTGGCCGCACTCGAAACCATCGCCCACGTACGCCGTACATGCAGGGTAGCTTGGTTAGAAGCGACCTCGCCCGCTACGATGAGCAAAACCTGCAGCCGCACCTCGCAAGTGAGGTAGCACGCGATGTGCCGTAGAATCTGCGCACGCACTGTCATCTACGTCCCTTGCCATGTGTAGTAGCTCAACATCGTCAGATCTATCCCTCCCAAGTGCCCCGAAGCACTGCCAGCCTACCCCCTTGGTGTAGGGCATCGATCCCCGCGCAGGGGGGCACGTCGGACAGCGGGACCAAGGCTTTCCCAGTGGGTACAGAGACAAGTCTAAACCGATGCTGGGTACTGTCATCGTGCTACCATAGCGGAATCCTGAATAAGGAACCTAAGAGCTCCTCTTGCCACGGCGAGCCTCAGCACGAATAGGCTCCCGCACCTAGGTCCAAGGAACGGCACCCAAACCAGAGCCCCTCCTGAAACCAAAGGTTCTCATTCAGCGTCTCGAGTGTAGCAGCTCTAGTGAGTGCGCTCGCAAGCCCAGTTTCCCCGCTGCATCGTCACTGCCCCCCTCCCGCTGCCCTCCTCGTAGGCGCACCAGCAGAGACCGAGCACTGGAGGGACGAGCACGAGCAACGAGGTAGTCACATCCACCACCTTCGCCCGTCCTGCTCTTGGCCAGGGTCATTCCTCTTTGCACGATCGGAATGGGTGAGGTATGTATACCACTCCCGACGGACAGCAGGATCTGCCTAATGTGAGCAAGAAAGGCTGACCAGCGGACAAGGGATGCTGACACACGAACAAGAAGAGCTCGCACATGAACACACATGGATGTCGACAAGACGAGATATAAACACCAGGCAACTCGCCCCTGGGCCCCCCGCCAGCCCCACGCCAAGGGGCGATCATATATGGTCCAGGGCTTGCCCCCCACCCCCCCAATGCTGATGCCATTGGGCCCCCACCCCCCGCGCGATGGTCCCCCCCGCCGCCCCTTCTGTGGGCGTGGCGTGGTGCTGCGCTGCGGTGCCCCCCCCCCCCCCCTGTGGATGTGGTGTGGTGCTGTGGTGGTTCAGAAGTGGACGTGGCGTGGTGCTGCGCTGCGGTGCCCCCCTCCCCCCCCTGTGGATGTGGTGTGGTGCTGTGGTGGTTCAGAGGTCGTCGTCGTCGTCGTCGTCGTCGTCGTCCTCGCCGTCCTCGTCGTCGTCGTCGTCGTCGTCGCCATCGTCGTTGTCGCCGTCGTCGCCGTCGTCATCGTCGTCATCGTCGTCGTCGCCGCCGCCGCCGCAGGCGTCGTCGCTGCCGCAGCCGTCGTCGTCGTCGTGGTCGTCGTCGTTGTCGTCGTCGCCGTCGTCGTAGTCGTCGCCGTCGTCGTCGTCGTCGTCGCCGTCGTCGTCGTGGTCTCTGGGACCATACCATCTGGGGGGGGCGGGGGCCCGAGGAATCCTGGGACCATACCATCTGGGGGGGGGGGTCCGTGAACCCTCGACCCGGGATCATATATGCGGGCACTGCACCGCGCTGCATGCGTAGCCTTTGGCGGGGCCAGGCAGGGCACGACCCAACACTGCATCGCGTGGCGCGTGGATGCCCGCGCCGACCACGACTCCTCTCAGCCCCTACCTCCGACCCCCCTCCTTTCGCCACCTCTTCTTCGTCCTCGCCCTACCCATCCCCCTCCCGTCGTCCCGTGCGTGGCACATGGTGCTGCTTGGTTGCGTCTGGACAATGTCCTTACCGCTTGGCCTTAAAGCTGCCAGCGAAATATCCGCACACCCCTCGCTTAAAACTGCCAGCGAAAGATCCTCACACCCCTCGCTTGAAACTGCTAGCGAAATACCCTCACCGCCCCTGGCCTAACACTGCCAGCCACATATCATTACCCCCTCGCCTAAACTGCCAGCGACGTGTCCTCAACTGCCATGCCTAAAACTGCCAGGGAAAAACACTCACCCCCCTGTCGTGCGAAGTATCCTCACACCCATCCGTTTAAACCTGCTAGCGAAATCTCCTGACCCCATGGCCTAACATTGCCAACGAAATATCCGCACCGCCCTGGGTTACAACTGCGAGCGAAATACACTCATGCCCCTTAGCGAAAGATCCTCACCCCCATGACCTAAAGCTGCCAGTGCTTGAAACTGCCAGCGAAATATACTCACACCCCCTCGCTTTAAACTGCCAGCGAACTGTCCTCCACCCCGACCTAAAAACTGCCAGCGAAATATCGTCAAACCCCTCGCTTGAAACTGCCAGCGAAAAATCCTCACACCCGTCGCGTAAAACTGCCACCGAAATCTCATCAATCCCCTGACTTCAAACTGCCAGCGAAATATCCTCATACCCCTCGCTTTAAATTGCCAGCGAAGTATCCTCACCGCCTCTGGCCTAAAACTGCCAGCGAAATATCCTCACCCCCTGGCCTAAAACTGCCAGCGAAATATCCTCTCACCCCTCGCCTGAAACTGCCCGCGAAATATCCTCACCACCCCTGGTCTAAAACTGCCCGCTAAATATCCTCACCCCCTGAACTTACAACTGCCAGCGAAGTATCCTCAACCCCCTGGCCTAAAACTGCCAGCGAAATATCCTCACCGCCCCTGGCGTAAAACTGCCAGCTCAATATCCTCACCCCCTGGCCTGAAAACTTCCAGCGAGTTATCCTCAACCCCCTGACTTTAAACTGCCAGCGCAATATCCTGACCGCCCCTGGCGTAAAACTTCCAGCGAAATATCCTCACCCCTTAGCCTAAAAGTGCCAGCGGAATATCCTCACACCCCGCGCTTAAAATTGCCATCGAATTATTTCACCCCCCTGGCCTAAAACTGCCAGCGAGATATCCTCAACTCCCTGATTTCAAACTGCCAGCGAAATATCCTCACTCCCGAAAATAAAACTGCAATCCAACAGCTTTGGTGTTTCAGTTCAGTTCTGTAAGTCAGTTCTGTCAATCAGATCTGCTACTTCCCCGAAACCAAATTACGGGCTGCGCCCGTGAATGACAGATTGACAACGAATCCAGCCCCAAACAAACAGAGAACTGCAATCGGGAGTTCAGCGCAGTGCTTCCATACCCTGTGCCGGCGTGCAGACCGCGCAAATCAGGTCTTCCCACCCTCCAACTCCGAGAGCTGGCCTTCTCTCTCACTCTCGGGGAGCTCGTGTCAGCCATGCTCCCAGCCGACAGCGTGGCATTTAGTTTTAAGCGCGCAGCCGCTTCTGCGCTGGTAGGCACGCAACCATTGGACCCCCCCGCTGGGATGCTAGCCGTCAGTTCCTACACTGGGCGACAAAACTCCACGTGCTTCGCTGCGCTGCGGGGCAACACACCGCGCAGGCCCCCGAGGATGCATTAGAGTTTACGCTGCTGATGTTGGCTCTGGGGGTTCCAGCTCATGGCTGCCATGAGCGCATCGCTCTCCGGTGCGGGAGGGAAACGCTCCAACGACAATGACTCCAACACCTCCCAGACCAAATTGGCATGCTCGCGCCTTACATCCAGACGAGAAACGAGCGGCATCACAGATGATGAGGACCTGCATGGTCGGGGGAGGAAGCCGATCGGAGCTTGAATAATCGCACGTGCGGTGCAACTGAAAACGCGTTGGCTTCCGAACCTTGACTGTTGACTCCCCTGGACCTCTTTACGAATGAAGGTATCCCTGCCGTCTCGTCAAGCAATTGCAAACTTCTCGAAACCTCGTTGACAATGACTGTGATATTCTTCGGCTACTGCGAACGCCGGCAGTCGTGCTACAATATCTGAGCAGTCGAGCGCCTTGATGGCGATGTTGCAAAGCAAAGCTGGCATACAAACATCGAAACTTGCGGCCATCGCGTGCTCAGTCAGTCCTTCCTGCCTGGCAAGCCATCTTTGCATGTGCGAGTTCATGCTCAAAGGCGCGTGCGTGTCAACCCTGAGAATGCAAACTCACGCATGCGAGCACAAGCGCACGTGCTTGGACATTTTACGGCCACGCGCGGGGTCTGAATTCATTGCAGAGGCCTCACTTCCACCTACAACATCCCATCCCGTGCCAATGGTGAAACAACGGCTACACTGTGCAATGCGTTGCTTATTTCTGCCATGACTCATCGGGCAAATACTTCCCACGCGTCCCCCTGCCATTGAACTTTGAGCCGCTAACCCTGATGTAGGTGACTTCAAGCGCATCAAAAAGGCCGCTTTGCAAGGCAAGGTTCGCGTTCAAGCCAGTTTGCTTGCGCATTCGACGCTGAGCTACAGAACGTGTCGGTGTTAGTTTTGCGGCGTGCGCCCCTGAGACCCACTGCACCCAAACCTTCTCACCAATTTGGGCCACGCGTGCCCGGCAGCAACTCGGGCCTGCCGAAAGGCGAACTGGATGTTTGGCCTCGTTGTCCGTCGTAGGAGCCGGAGCAGGTTCTGGCAATGTGTGGAAATGCACATCATGGCCAGTACCTGCCACCAAGAACAACAACAATATGGGAACATGCTAGAAGATGTCGTCGGCTCGATGATGCTGCATGCAGCGGGCAAGCTAACATCATCGTAAAGGGAAGACGCAGAGGTACATGTAACATGCATTGTATCGCTGCTACTAACCTGCCAGGTCGGCGGTGGCCAGGAGGAGCACAGATGCGAAATGCATCGGAGCGCGACTGGATCACTCGCAAGAGATGGCACAGAACAAAACTCGGGCCGCACGCGTGCTGGCGGGGTGTACAGATGTCGTTGTGCTCACTCTATTCTCCCTCATTTCTTCCCAACCGACGGGGCGGCCGCGTCGTGGGGGCCTAGAACGCCATGAAGCGAGCGAGCGAGCGAGTCTTGTCGTCTGTTTGTAGCCTCCCCCGTTCCTCCGCGAGCCCCCGGACAGTTGGAAAGCTGATCTTGTGAGAAGGCACTGGGGTCTAGGACCCGTTTCCCGAATGACCCGTCATGCCAATCCTGTTATTAGCGCTTTCCTCTAGCCAGTAGCCAAATTGGGGAAGAGGCCTGAGGGTTCAGGCGGAGCCCGCGGGTGGCAGGCCGTCATCGCAAGTCTCCGGCGCTTTGAAGAAGAAAAAGCGGACAAAGGTTTAAGCTCTTGGGCAGTTGCCCAGAGCTGGAGGGCCCTTTAGGGCATCGTGGGAGGTGCGGAGAGGAGTCCAGTGCCTCGGGGGGTATGGGGGGTGCGAGGGGCCGCAGGGGCCGTCGTGGGAGGCCTCGCCCAATAGTGCCGCTAACTTTGGATTGCGCAGACATTTTTTGGCGCTTGATGGGGGCTCTTACCCTGGCTTGAAACTTTCAAATCCAAACGGGCCCCTGGCTCCACGTCTGCGCCATTTCAGAAACACTTATTAGTCACTAGCAACGTTCATATAGCCGAGAACGCAACCCTCCTGGCAGGCACATGCCATCTGCTCGCAAAATTGTCCCGCCTGCGGGAACTGCAAGCCAGGGAGAGCTTCAGAGGGTAACAGCGGATTGCGCAAATGTCTGCCAAAGGCGGCCGTGGTGCCTTTCGCCTTCCCTGCCCGCCTCTACTTTAGCGTGACACGCGCGGCGCAGCCTTTCGGCAAGCACGCGTGCCCTGTGCATGCTGCGCGGAGAAGGGAAGGCCTCCCTGCGCAAGCACCGAAACTCAGGCGATGCCAAGATGGCCGAGGACCTCTTGCAAAATCAACAGCTCCGTGCGGCGGCTTGGCCCCGCGCGCGCGTAGCTGGACAGGTTGCCAGTCGTAGTCGCCGCGGTAGTAGCAAACAGAAATCGAGACGAAATAGCAATTTCTGTGGGTGGAAATAACGATGTAATTGTGGCAACTGTTTCCGTGATCCTTTAAACCCCGCTTGCCAATGAAGGTGAGGACAAGGCATGTGAGATGATTGGCAGCCCCCCCCTTGCCAACCTCACAAGAAAGTCCGAAATCACGCTTGATGGGGGGGGGGGTAACATGAGCTCTCCAGCGCATCTTCCAGGCCCTTCCGAGCCTCCAAATCCACTGTCGGACGCCTGAAAGATGCCCGAGATGCCCACCACGACGACTCCAAATGGATCTTCCACGGCGAAGAGACCGACAAACGGCTCCAAATTGCTTCCGGCCCACCCAAGGATATCCCCAAAGAGGCCGAAATCACTCTGTTCAGCTTATTTGCGCCACCTCGCCCTATTCGTTTCCTATGGGCTTCTGAGAACTCACGATGGTTCCACAGTTGGCTATGTGAGCAACATGCGGGTCCAGAGCTTTCAAAAACGACCCCGAACTCATCTTGTGAACGTCCCGAAAGGGTCCGAGAAACAACTCCCACCACCACTTTGGGCAAAGGTAGTATACTCCGCCGATGCGAACGCTCGGCCAAAACATGGCGCCTCCCGGAATGCGACGGGGCCCTGGTACAACGTTGTCAGTGGCGTTGCGCCCGCGACAAGAGAGAAGAAGTCAAAGGGGCTCGTTAGGCCACGAGGCCCCAACACCATGTTCTGCTCAAGCACCGTTCTGCTCAAGTCTCGGGCGGAGCCGCCATTTGGAGTTCAAGCCCGATGGTTTCGAAATCCAGTCGAGATCGATGGTTGCAGGGAGTCTCTAGCGAAACAAATACTTTCGAACTCTCTGGTCAGAAACAAGTGGCACGCGTGCCCTGGCTCTTGCACCAAGGAGCAGCGAGGGACAAGAAGCTTTCGCCTCTTTCCTCACGGAGTTTCCTTCCGTGGCCGGGGGGTGGGGCGAACGGCGAACGACGAGCGAACGACGAACGAAAATAAAGAGGTCCGAACTCTAGAACACAGCTGTGCATTATAAAACATTAGCCTGGCAAAGGACCCAACCATATGCAGTTGTGAGTAATGCTGGTGTGAGTACCGTCTTCGGTGGATCTCCCTATGGGGCAACGAACCGTTTGAGGGGTGTGCCGAAATGGGTGTGGGGGCGGCATGCGGACCCTGCCACTGGGGCCTTCGGTGGAGCTCCCTATGGGGCCACGAAACGTGTGAGGGGTGTGCCGAAATGGGTGGTGGGGAGGCATGCGAACCCTGCCACTGGGGCCTTCTGTGGAGCTCCCTATGGGGCCACGAAGCGTGTGAGGGGTGTGCCGACATGGGTGGTGGGGAGGCATGCGAACCCTGCCACTGGGGCCTTCGGTGGAGCTCCCTATGGTGCCACGAAGCGTGTGAGGGGTGTGCCGAAATGGGTATGGGGGCGCATGCGAACCCAGTCACTGGGGCCTTCAGTGGAAATCCCCATGGGGCCACGAAACGTGTGAGGGATGTGCCGACATGGGTGTTGGGGAGGCATACGAACCAGGCCACTGGGGCCTTCGGTGGAGCTCCCTATGGGGCCACGAAACGTGTGAGGGGTGTGCCGAAATGGGTGGTGGGGAGGCATGCGGACCCTGCCACTGGGGCCTTCGGTGGAGCTCCCTATGGGGCCACGAAACGTGTGAGGGGTGTGCCGAAATGGGTGGTGGGGAGGCATGCGAACCCTGCCACTGGGGCCTTCGGTGGAGCTCCCTATGGGGCCACGAAACGTGTGAGGGGTGTGCCGAAATGGGTGGTGGGGAGGCATGCGAACCCTGCCACTGGGGCCTTCGGTGGAGCTCCCTATGGGGCCACCGTGTGACGAAAACGGTGAGGGGTGTGCCGAAATGGGTGGTGGGGAGGCATGCGGACCCTGCCACTGGGGCCTTCGGTGGAGCTCCCTATGGGGCCACGAAACGTGTGAGGGGTGTGCCGAAATGGGTGGTGGGGAGGCATGCGAACCCAGCCACTGGGGCCTTCGGTGGAGCTCCCTATGGGGCCACGAAACGTGTGAGGGGTGTGCCGAAATGGGTGGTGGGGAGGCATGCGAACCCTGCCACTGGGGCCTTCGGTGGAGCTCCCTATGGGGCCACGAAACGTGTGAGGGGTGTGCCGAAATGGGTGGTGGGGAGGCATGCGAACCCTGCCACTGGGGCCTTCGGTGGAGCTCCCTATGGGGCCACGAAACGTGTGAGGGGTGTGCCGAATGGGTGGTGGGGAGGCATGCGAACCCTGCCACTGGGGCCTTCGGTGGAGCTCCCTATGGGGCCACGAAACGTGTGAGGGGTGTGCCGAAATGGGTGGTGGGGAGGCATGCGAACCCTGCCACTGGGGCCTT